ACGGGCAGATAGGGGACGTCGCGGAGCAGATTGCTCCAGCTGTGGCCGGCCAGCAGGAACATGCAAGCGCACATGCCCAGGGTGGAGATGATGCCGGCCCGTCGGCGGCCCCACGCCTCCAGGACGTAGCCCATGGGGCAGGTGGTGACCAGGCGGGCCAGCCCGATGAGCAGAGCGCACATGAAGGGGTCGATGGAGATGCCCGCTTCTAGGGAGATCTGCACGGCGTAGACGATGACCACGAAGATGCCCGTCAGCTGCTGGAAAGCGAACAGGGACATCAGGATGAGCAGCGGCTTGTGCACCTCCGGCAGCCGCATGTTCCGCAAAAACGAGGGCTTCTCCTCGGCGTCCCGCAGCTGCAGCGACTTCTGTAGCACCTGGAACTCGTCCAGCACCTGGGGATGCGTAATATGCGCTGCGGAGAGAGAGAGAGATCAGAGAATGGTGTACACAGTTGGAGAATGCTACTCACGGGACTTTTCCAGACCGCGGAAGTAGTTGAGGGACTTCTTGGCCTCGGCCAGCCTCTTCTTGGCCAGCAGCCAGCAATGGCTCTCGGGTAGGGGCAGGACGCAGAGCAGGGCCACCAGCTGGTAGCCGCAGCAGATGAGCGCGATTAACCGAAAGTCGTCGCGGATGAAGAAGCCGATGCCGTAGAGGATCGTTATGCCCCCGGCCACCGAGATGGATGTACCCAGAATGAGGCTGCCCCGCGTCCGAGGCACGCTGATCTCCGCTGCGTACACCCCAGGCGGGGCGCTGGCCAGGCCCATGCCAATGCCTGGAATTTTAATTTCATCGAATAAGCAATGACCGATAATCGCTTGTCGAAAACCACACGGATGCTTACCCAAGATGAAGCGGGAGACGATGAGCTGCCAGAAGAAGGAGTGGGAGTCTGTTTGGCTGGCGGTGGCGAGCAGGATCCAGGCAGCGATGTTAAGGATGTTCAGCACGACCAGCGTCCGCTTGCGACCGATCCTGTCAAGCAGCACCCCAGACAGCAGGCCGCCGAGTGGTGCGGCCAGGGCGTTCACTGAGGCGAACCAGGACGCCTGCGTCCCATTCAAGTGCACCGGTTCCGTCTCGTCCTTTAGCTGGTCCAGCGTGACCGTGGGAATGGCCAGGGTCATGCCAGTGGACAGCACGCCCACATTGGCCAGGATCACGGCAATCGCCTGCCGGCGCACGGCTCGCGGCTGCTCGCCCAGTGGCTTCGTCTGCAGCGGCCGGTCCATGCCCGAGATGATCTGGGGCTTGAGGTGGCCATTGGTGTGTAGCTCCTCCTCTGTCAGACCCATGGCCGAATCACGTGCCGGTCCAGGAACCTCCTGTTATCTCTTCTGCGGCCTGTGAGTGGAGTGATGTAAAGCCAATATTAGCATTTGGCGGTACTCTCACGGAGAGCAAACAGATCAGATACGAGTAATCGTAGTCCCCACTGAATACTCGTTCTGTCTGGTTGTTTGTACTATACGTATAGTACGTACGTACGACAGTGCATACCCTTCTCAGAAGCCTTAAGTCAAGTAATATATCAACGCAAAAAACGAAAGCATATCCGGCCCAATAAAGTAATATTTTCTGTATCTAAGTAACAGACACTGTGGCCCCGTTCTCAATTAGTCTGTCCATCTTTGAGATGTCTACATTATTTAGATGCATTACATCATTATTCGGATATCAAAAGACCTTTATGGATAGGATTCCCCAAAAAATTCAGACGCGAAACGCAAGAACTCTACCAACGCGATTGGATAATTTCTGTTCATGTTTGCGCTATGGAAAGGGAAGATCTTCCAAAACGGGTCTTCGATAATCGGGCTAAATTTTTTAAAACATCAGGCCATCACAAATTGGTCGTGCGACTGTGGTTAGAACGAGATATTCTGTGAATTGTTGTTTACTTCAAAGAGTTATTGTTTTCGTTGCCATACGGTGATAAGGGACTAGGGCGATAGTGCCCAAACCCTGGCCAGTGTCCAAGGGAAACAGTTGATCCGCGATTCGTAGACCTTTCCAGAGGTTATTCAAAGTTTGTTTGTGGATCGCAAGTGTTTGTGCATTACTTTGATCAATCGACGCCAATTAACGGCTATGCATCCACACAAATCAATTGAGCAATACTCACTCGGGAAGCCTCTGTTTTCCACCACCACGAGGGCTCGCTGGTAGAGATAACCTGCTGAACCAAAAATCCACAGAGCGGGAAAACAGGTTCTGCGACTTCTAGCCAAAAATCAAAGCCGTGTGTTTATGGCCCAAAAAGCGAGACAATACTTTAGGCAAGTCTGTCGGGGCGGCACAGCGGAATAGAGCGAATGGAGCAACCGTCGACGGCAAAACGCTGGAGCCAACTGAACGCCGCTTGCCACGTTAGATGCGCCTCGACTCGACACCCGACTCCTCTGCTTCTCTGCGGTCCGCTCAACTACACGGATTTCTACCGAGCGAGCGCTACGCTTCGCGACAAATTCTCTCCTTCCCAACAGACTCTCTCATGTCCGGACGGGCAGAAGCGATAAAGCGTATGCCCCGTTGAGGAAACTTAGAGGAAACGTCACCGCCCCGCCCCAACCGGCCAATCGATTGCTGTTTGTGTGACTTTTGTGTGTCATGATCGTTTTGATCGCTGCTGATAATGGGGGATCACTGTGGATCGATTTGTGGCTGGCTTCTTTAATGAATAAAGGGGTTTAGAACACCTCTCGCTCCCGCCTCGCCCTACGCCAGTACGCAATATCGGCTTATCGGATCGGTTGGCATAACCTTTACACGCAAAATGCAAATTAAACGTAAATAAATACTTAATGAGCCTCTTTTTAATGTCTGGGTTACCATATGATGCCACAAGTAGTATAGAATTGTTGTATCTTGTGGCATTGGCTTATCAGCTTTGAATTTAATCAGCCATACGCTCATCGCTGTTGTTTTTTGTGGGGCATCAGACGAGTGGAAGTCCACTCCCAAGAGCCCGCGGCGACAAACAGTGATTTATCTTATCGAATAATGAATATATTTCGCCTTCACTGTTGCAATATTTGCCCAGCAATGTATTAAGCGAAGAGACAAAGGCTGGTTCTAAATTGCGTGCTGTCAATTGGCCATTAGAAGTCTTTAGGGTCTGGCCCCGATTAGATAGCGATTCATTTACGAGGTGTTAAATCCCATAAACAAAAAACCGTTAGGCTCGCGGGTATGTGCGTGTCGCAGTACTCAACAAGTGTCAGGCAATGCTTGACACATTATGCATCCCTGATATCGATACATGTACGATATTTGGCAGGGCCCTGGTGCTGTAAAAGTCAGCAAAAAACAGGATGTTGGAATGTTTTTAATTCTGAGTATGACATTATTTCACAAAAGGAATCTATATCCGCGGGAGAATGTTGCTGTGTACCAAATATTGTTTATATTTTCGGTTTTGGGGCTTAGTCAGGACAGTCTATCGAAAAGAAATATCGTTATTCATAAATAAAAAAAATATGTCGTCAACGGGGTATGGCATACAGGCTTACAGTATATATATTGGTATATTTCATTCATTTTGTGGTATAGAATGGTATGCTTGATCAATTCTTTGGTATATTTCGGTATATTACAAAAATAAAAAACTAAACTTTTCACACACAAATGTAGTTAATATGTAGAAACTGTGTAGTTATCATGCAAAGAATTAATTTAGTGGACATTGTTTAAACTTATTTTACAATAAAATCCAATAAAAAGAACGTTGATTTATCAATCGGATGACATTATTAGTTCAGAGCTGAGGATCCTAGCTAAATGGTAATATTCAACCAAATATAATATAATGTAACAAAAATAATTCGTCAGTATATTTACGGTATATTATGAAATTTGTGACATAGGTTTGGTATATTTCTTAGGGTCAGACGGTATATTTCATCGGAATATCCGAATTGGCCTGTGTGACAGGAAAAATAATATAAAATGAACACAAATAGAATCCTGCTCCAAGCACAACATTAGCGGCAGGCACGCGTAAAACACGGAAGAAAATCGAGACGAGACTCGAACGCAAAAGGCAGCGGGTGTCTTGGAACGTGAAAAGAGGGGTTAAAGCAGCCAAAGTGTCCTACTCCAAAAGTAAACACCGGTGACAGTGCCACCTCTGCAGGTGGAGCATCATCCAGCGAATCCTCCACTCTATGAGTGGTTAAGCGTGTCGTCTCCGAGTCTACTGTTGCCCCAGGCTCCAGCAGCAGCGGGATTGGATGAGGGATGAGCGGACTTGTTTATAGGCAGGTGCGCGTCCCCGTGACAGTAGCAGCAGCGGAAGCAACAGAGGCATTATCAACATAATTTAAACCTCAAAGAAAAGTGAAAAACGGAAAAACAGAAAGAGAATCGGGAAACGAGAAAACGCTTCGATAAATCGGTTCCTTCGGGTCGCCCAGGAGAGCGGTGGAGCGTGAAGAACGGTGCACAGAGAGCGAGTGCTGTGTATGTGTATCCGTGTCGGTGTCTCAGTGTGTGTGTGTGCGTGTGGCAGCATCCTGGAAAAGCAGGAGAGCGGAAAAGCAGAGCAAAGCAAAAGCAACATAATCAACCAGAAATATAAAAACAGAGTTTTCCCCTAGACCCAACTCCTCATCCAATCCCGCAACCCCCGCCACCCAGTCCCCAAGCGTGCTGTCAACAATTTCCCAATTGTCGTCGTGCAAACCCTCGTCCTCGTCGCCATTGCTGTCGGAGCAGTCACCATCAGAACAATCATGGAATGCCGCTGAAGCCGACCCCAGGAGAACCACAGCAGAGCAGAGCAGCTTTCACCTCCTGCTCCTCCTGCTTCTGCAGTTCACTCAATGCCAGACGGCTTCGTCACCCACCAGCAGAAGCTATAGATATTGCTATAGATACGGCTAAAGATACACAGATACACACGCAACGGCCATGTCCAGGTGCATGTCTATGTCCACGCTGTGACCTATAAAGCCGCCCGAAATTCCCAGTGAAAATTAAGTAGAATCAACAGATCCAGACTTAGTCTCGATCCAGATCTGGAACCCAGAACTCGGATTACCCCACATTACCGCAGTCTAGTTCCAACTCCAGTCCTACTAGCAGAAACAGAAGCGCATCAAGATGACCACAGACTTTCTGTTCCCCAAAATAGCGGATTGCTCCTATGTGTCCTGTTACTGGTGAGTAGCTAAAGTCATAGTCATAGTTCTCGCCCTTGTCGTGATCCTGCCCCACAATGCGTACAGGCTGGCAGGTAGCCTGGCTGACTCGGGGATACCAAAACTTTTTCATTAGGCAAAATCATTCACCACGAAATACGAGGCAGAATATTAATACAGTGTTTGCGTTTTTTTGATGAACAGAATATGTATAGAGGGAATGATGGTGATTTTGAATGATTATCTGAGATTTCTTCTTCTGTGAATGATTATCTCTATTTTGGCCAGTCCTAGCTTTTGGAGAATTGCCTTCTTTAATTATGTATATTTTATTTTCGTGCGCTATCTCTTTTGGCAACGACATTCGCCGTGGTTTGCAAGGGTCGGGGGCGCCTGTTGTTCTTTCCGCTTTCTCCCCTGTGACTCTCTCTCTTCCTCTCTCTATCTTTCTCTCTCCATGCTTTTGTGTGTTTATTCCGTATATCTCTATAAGCCGAATTCTGTGGTTCTTCTTTAAAGGCTGTTCTTTCAGACTGCTGCTCCTTCTATCTAATACACCTTGACTCCTCGCTCGTCGATGCGCCTCGCATCTCATTCAAATTCGTTATTTTTTCTCCTGCTTCTTCATTTTATCCATCTCTGCTCTTCCCTTCCCCTTGCTTTGTTTTTAGATTTTCTCTTCCCGTCCTCGAAGTCGTGATGCGGCGCCGTGCCGTGCCGCGCTGCGCAGCTCCAGAAATTAGGTCAAACGGTCATGTCTGCCTAACAAGAAAAGCGTGCCACAGTGTGTGTTGGAGCCCCTATATGTGGGGCAGGGGGGTGGGGGTGGCGCGGGTTGAACCTTTCGGTTCGTTTTTATTGCCACATGCGAGAGGCGCGTTTCGACTATAAAACAAACGACCAGCGGCACCAGCAACAACAAACCAAAGCGAAAATTAAACATATCCTCATGTATGAGCACACACATACATATAGCATGCATGTATTCAAGCTGTGTGTGTTGGTGCAATATTTAAAATGCTAATTGCAAAAATGGCGGCACAGACGATACGATGGCGATGACGAGGACATGGTCGTGGTTGGTTGAGGCGGAGGGGAAGGGAAGGGTTAGTAGGGACAAAGTTATGGAAAGTTGGCAGGCAGGTGGCGCCCCCCCAAGGAGTAGACTCCTCGGGCAGCAGCGGGAGTGGTAAGAATTATATGAGTTTTATGTGCGTCTCCGACCACACGCTCGTCATATGACATGCACGTACCCACACAGACACCATATACATACATACATATGTAAATTTGTAAGGATGAAATGTCGTAGCGTTCTCTGACCTCATCGTCCCCCCATCCTCAAAGAACCCCCTTTGTTGCAATCCCCTTCAGGACATGTTCATTGATTAATTCACATTCGCAAAATGCTCGCACTCACATTTTCACTCAGATTCATCGTCAACGTCATCGCCATTCCCATCTCCCCATCACCTCTTTCCAGTGGGGGAAGAGAATCTTGGAATGAATACGCGCACTCTCTCTCACTGTCTCTCTCACACTCTCGCTTTCACACATGCATACACACTGAGGCGCCATCTGTTTGTGGAAATGTGCAGCCCACCGTGTGGTCTGTTCGTTTGGAGAGGGGGCAGCAGAGCGAAAGGTTGGGTAACTGCATCCTGGCTTTGGCACTCAGCCATTAGCATCGGCAGCGGGATGTGCCATTCGGTTATCTGTCGAACTGGGCTGGCGTCGGAGGAATCAGTGTCTGGAAGTGCATTTAAACCGCCAGCTCACGATATCGCCACAAGCCACTTCCAGTCGCGACTTTTGACCGTGCAACTTGAGTGGGTTCCACTTGCCAACCTTGTGCCTCTCCTAATCCGTTCCTTTTCCACCTCCCTACACCCTTTTTTGGCTTTAACAAAAGTGTTACTATAACTTTTTTTACTATAACTTATTCGTTATATCTATCCACTGGAAAAGATATTGTAAGTGGATGCGATAATAGGATAGAAAAATTGGTTCATCTTTGCACGATATAGGCATCATATAGCGCCATACAGTGTACAGACTCGCAAGAGTATTCTAGGCTTCGAATATCCCTAGAATAGTGCTGCCGTTGGTTGGCCTGGTGGAGGTCTGTAGCCCCAGTTTAATACCTCCTTCGCATGCACTTGACGCCGCCCACTTGTTTGTGGATCGCGTGGGCTGTTCTCATTCCCAACCTCGTCCTCAGTCATGCCATGCCAGGACAAACATGCGAGCAACAATGTGTGGCAGCAAAATTGATTGGAATTTATTTGAAAGAGCCATAAACAGTAAAATGGCAGTCAAGGAGCACACGGGGACCTGGGGCCAGAGGCAGCCGCGTGCTAAGCAAAATCGATTATTTTAATTCGAAAGCCAAGAGGCGGCCTGTTGCTGATAAGCCACACTGGTGCGGGCACCGTTGGCATTTCGTGCAAAGTTTTGGGGCTCAGAAAGTGCATTATGTTAGTAGTCGATTGGTGAATAACCCAACCCACTTGCGAATTGTTACTTGCAGCGAGGAGAACGTGTGGAAACTCTGCGAGCAGGTGAAGCGGACGCGGCCCGAGGAGCTGGGCACATGCTATGCTGTGTTCGTGTCTAACGAGGGGCGAACGGTGCCGCTGTGGCGCCAGAAGGCCGGACGTGGCGACGATCAAGTTGTGATATGGGTGAGTGTTCTTATCCATTAAATCTAGCCATTTAGAAACTATTTCATATTGTTTTCTTCACAGGACTACCATGTATTCTTCATGCACAATCCCTCGCCGAACCGCTGCCTGGTGTTCGACCTGGACACCACGCTGCCCTTCCCCACATACTTCCACAAGTACGTGACGGAGACATTTCGCTCCGACCTGGCACTGCGACCAGAGCATCACAGGTGAGCGCAGTCGCCCCTCCATGGAGCCCCATGATTTTCTAACACATTTCATACATATTTTCAGATTCTTCAGAGTCATACCCGCAGACACATATCTCATTGAGTTCTCCTCAGACCGGCGGCACATGCGACGGCCGGATGGCAGCTGGATCAAGCCGCCGCCCTCATATCCACCCATTCTATCAAACAGTGAGATGCTATACTAGAATCGGTGTACAACCAATGACACTCACTGTCTCTCTTCCACAGCCAATATGCACTGTCTGGGCGACTTCATCTGCATGAGTGCCGGAAAGGGCCCCGGCGCCGTATACAGCCTCTCGGAATTCGTGCACAACTTCTACAAGTCGCCCAATATGGTTGCGCAACACAACAAGTAAAGAGGATCCACATCCGTATCCGCGACCAGGCACACGCATCCATCATAGTCCCATAATCGATGTCCCTTAGGATAATGTCAAGATAGTTTAGTTTTTGTGGTGCAGTTGCTAGCCAGAGAGACAGTTAATTACCAATTGCATATACATAAAAACATACATATATATACACATGAATATATTTATGATATTGTATTTTTGTATTCAGATTAACAGATAGAAGACAAGCCAAGCCGCTCGCCGCGCTTCGCTGTGCTCTTCAGATCATTTATATTGAAATTCAATTCTAAAGAAATTATAAATCTAATTATACATTTTTTATTGTATGTATTGTATTCGATAAAACACGCATAGATATATCATACATCGTATATCATATAGTATATACTGATACGGATCGGATCTAGCTAAGGGCAGTCCAAGAAATTCAATTTTTATTCGTTACTCTCTTCAAGTACTTTTTGAAATCTTAACCCTTAAACCCAAAACCGAAAACCCAAGCCTAAGCGAAGGGCAACGCACCAATTACGAGTAAAACTATAACATTTACAAACCATTTATGGGATACATACAAGAATATCTATATGGAAATATATGAAGATACATATATACATATGTAGATATGGATATGGATATACTACGCTACGCTCTTGATTCTGTAATTACATTTTTGGCTAAGCTAAAAGCAACCTTAACCTTAGCCTTAACCTTAATCTAAATCGAAGTCTACATCTAAATTTAAACCTTAATCGTTGACTCGAAGCTAAAGCTAAATCGAAAAGAATAATTAAATTAATGCTTGTTAACTTGTTTTACCGTATTTATTGTACACTAATTACGTACTCGTACAACAATTATAATTGTAATTCGAATATATATACATATGTATCTACTACTTTGTATACAACAAAACGTAACATAACGAAAGTGAATCCAAACGAATCGAATGGAAACGGACCGAAACCGAAGATAATATTTATAATATGTGTGTTTGTATCTAGCTAGTTTTTGTACGGTTTGTATGCCCGAGGATCCTCAGCAGAGTAACCACGCCCCACCCCACCCCCAACCAAACCGAACCCGCTTAGAGTTGATTTCGATATATTTATCGTATCGTTTCCCCGTTCGATTGACGACTTGTGACGCGCAAAGACTGATTCATTATACGCTCTACGGTAGCAGCAGTCCCTCTCCCTGCCCACCCCTCCCTATAATACCACCTAATCTGGATTATAAAGTTTTCTTTCGATTTCGATTCTTTGTCGCCAGACACCCCCTTTACACTCAAGATTAGTTAACGAAACTCGCATTTATTTTGGATTCAGTCGTTTACACTTAATTGGATTTGTATTAAGAGGTTTTAACTCGATTTGTATGGGGAATACCGCGTACACCTAAATATTAATAACATAAATGGGAATGTATAATACATTGAAGCTGTGCAAAAGTCTCAAAGTTAAACCTAAACTCTTAATAACAAAACACGAAACGTTTCTCAATGTTAAACATGTCTCGCATCTGCATACAATATAGATTGAAAGATGGGCATTAAACGCATGTATTCTTCAATGTTTCACTTTTATAGTTCGCTCATGGTTTATCGCATTAATCGCCAAGCAATCGATTGCAGAGCTCACTATTTGTTGGTGGAAAATCAATTATAAACGAACAAACACGCACAAATAATGAATGCATCAGATCGTGTAACGCCACAATTTCTCTCTTCCAGTTTTTTCTACTAAAAGCAAGCATATAACCAATATGATACGGGGCAGCTAGCCCCCATATAACGTGCAGATATATACATACATATACTTAACAGTAAGCTAAAGAAAACTAAGTTTTGGCGCCACTCTGTGCGAGGTTCTGTGCGTCTTTTTACTCTTTTTTACTTAGCATATATGTGCAACATATGTACTGTACTCTTACCATATACATTAGCACACAAACGACAACAACATCAACAGCTGCAGCCTTATTCTGAGTCAGAGGGAGCTGCAAAATGCTATGGAGAATTTTCAATTGCCAAAACACAAACAGACTGGAAACAGAACTGGGAGTCCCCCTAGAGTCCAATATGGCTGCAAGTGGTTTCAATTAGATCTGAGTAACCCGATATAGGGATCGATAGCGATCCCTGCCCAAGACCATTTTCCCTTCCTCCTGCAATAAACACACATTAGTGGAGAACTAAGATTTACAAAGAACTCTATGCTTTATTGGCCTACGCCTTTGTTAAACTATATTTATATATATCTCATTACTACCTACATAACGTACAAACTATCGATCGTACTTTTGATTGTTATTGTAACATACTTTGCAACTCCCTAGTAGTACAGATACAGATACCAAATACCAGTACATGGAACACATAACAGTTTATGGATCAATGAATTATAATTGTTCTCTCTTGGTTCTGCAAATGCAAAGCGCTAAATGAAATCCAATATGAATACCACTTAATCTAAACATAAACGATCAATAAATATTCTTAAAATTGCATTTTAACCCCTTCCTCGGATCCTTCTGTTCTACTTCTCTCTGGCTTTCAGCGAATCAGCACTTTCAATCCAAAAAGCGCTCCGAATTCATCGTATTCATACAAAAAAAAAAATTAATTTGTGTTTACCAAGTACCATAGGCGGCCCAATGTTTATTTTCTTAGTGCGCTCCAAACAACAGATTTTATGGAGAGACTCTCTTTTCTCTTTCAGGAAACTTGAGACTTCCAACACAAGCACGATCAGTTTTTACTAAAAGGAAAGAAGTTCTCGAGGCCGAAAGCTTCGCTCTTCAATTAGTCTTTCGGACGCCGCCGTCGAGGAAAGCACAGAACAGTAACATTCGACATTCAACTCAAAATTAAGAAAAAAAAATTAGTTCAGTTCATATATCCCACAAAAAAGGGGCCCGGAGAGAACTCGGCGACGAGGAAGTGCATTCGTCATGGCAAAGAACCTGGAAGATACTTTAAATGATTTGAACGGCGAACTAATCAACTTTGACAAAGACCGGAAGACGTTTACAGCGCACTACACCGAGCTGAGGAACCAGCTCTACTCCCTGTGGAAGCGCGACGAGAAGCTGGGCTAGCTGCTCAAGGGATCCACCTTGGGAGGTAACTACTAGAGTTCAATTTTTGATACTGTATATGTATGTATGTATGTACTGCTGTAGATGCAATTCTATGTGGGCCGACTGTCTCGTCTGCATTGAGTGTAAAAACATGCATTTCCGAGTGTCCGATTCTCCGCGAGAGTCTATCAACTCTGGGAACTATTAAAATCAAATTTTGAATCTCTGATAAGAATGTATCTGTGAATTCACACTCATTCACACATTCATACAATTACTCAATTAAAACATTACACCTAATTATGTCTTACTGGAAATTTAAGGGGATTACATTTTGCAATAGAAATGTGTTAGTATATTGTGAACATCAATGCTGACATTTTTTAAACGCAAATTTTTTTTCCAACGTTTTCAAATTTGTTCCCTAATTTTAATATAAGGAACCAATCACCAATCACGGTAGATTACCGTGTAAAAACAGAATTAGGTCGATATAAATGTCAAATCCGGCCCATAAATTGGACTATTTTGTGTTTAACCAAGGGCAGATACGAAAAGAGTTTCCCCTGGCAGTGTGAGGGTTTCTTTGTGGTCTGTTATAAAACAGGAAACGCCATGAATTTCCAGGAAAAGTTTGTTAGCTTCTGATTAGATAGCGTCCAAATGAAGGTGTTTGCACAGCTACTAAATCGCTGGGTGCGCTTTCACCCTCCCAGGAAGCTATGGCGACAACCTGAAGGTGTCGAAGCCGGACGAGTTTGATTTGCTGATTCACTTGGAGTTCCCCGATAATAACAGGATCATTGTGAAGCCGGATCCCCGTAGGCCAGGTGAGTCTCGAGAGAAAGCTCCCTCGAACGATAAACTGAATTGCCCCGAACACCGCAGGGAACGTAACGCTGGACATGACGAAGGTAATGGAGGCCATCAGAGATAGTGAACATCACAGACCCATCTACGAGCAGCTCCAAAAGTTGGTTAACGGGAAGAACATGCTCCTGGAGGACAGGCTGCAGAACTGGCTGCAGGGCCTGGTTACCCAGGCGCTAAACAAAATTGGCAACCAGATCGAGGTGAACAAAACGATCTCCAAGCTGACGTACAAGAAGTGCGGGCCTGCACACACCATCTTCGTGACAGGGCCCTACAAGTACTCCGTGGATTTCGTGCCAGGCATCAAGCTGGTAGCCGCGCAGAGCGTCCTTGCTGGAGATCAGAAGAAGCACTTTGGCAACTCCACGCACTGGGATGCGATTCCCAAGCCCCTAAAGCCTCCTCAGCCCGACAACAACTCCTTCCGGGCCTCCTACTACGTCGCCGAACACGAACTGATCAAGGACAAGGCCAACCTGAAGAATGCCGTGCGTCTCCTGAAGAAGTTCCGCGACGCGAAGCAGAACCTGAGCAATCTGAAGAGCTACTACATCAAGACAGTCTTCCTCTGGGAGGTCACTAAGCGGGATCCCCGCTACTGGCAGAGCCCCCTCCATGAGATCTTTATTGAGGTTTGGCATTGATTCTACTCTCCTCTGACTCCCACAGATCTGATCCCTTTCCCGAACGCTCATTTCAGATGATGAGCAAGTTGGCCAATGCCCTGAAGCTGACTCCGGGCAAGGGTAAGCTCCAGTTCTTCTGGGACCCCAAACTGGACATGATCGCCGATCTGAGCTCCACCCAACGCGCTGAAATGTTCAACTGTGTAGTGAAGAGCTTGTACCGATTCCACAGGGCCGAAGGCAACTTCACGGATGACATAAGGAACAACATGCGCAGCTCCTTCAGTACGCAAACGAAGCACCTGACGAACCGGTCAACGACTTACTAAACTCTCTCTCTCTCTCTCTCAAGGTAACCGCGAGGAACGGGGCATTGAAAAAAAGCCTGCCAAGCCGACGGCCAATCCCAACACCCAGTTGTGCGAAAAGAATAATGTGGCAACCCAGTGCCAAAGCAACCCAGGGGACCTTCCCGTTTCGAATTCCGCAACTCAAATAGAGATTGTAACGCCCAATCGTGAGTTGGTTACCAAAGAGAAGGCAAGCCCTCCGGCGAGCGAAGGAAACCCCAAGCCGAAGCCGAACGGATCCTTGTTGAAGCCAGAGCCAGACGTCCAACAGAATCCAATGCCAATGATGAATACCCAGTTGTGCGAAAAGCATAATGTGGCAACCCAGTGCCAAAGCAACCCAGAGGACCTTCCCGTTTCGAATTCCGCAACTCAAATAGAGATTGTAACGCCCAATCATGAGTTGGGTACCAAAGAGAAGGCAAGCCCTCCGGCGAGCGAAGGAAACCCCAAGCCGAAGCCGAACGGATCCCTGTTGAAGCCAGAGCCAGACGTCCAACAGAATCCAATGCCAATGATGAATACCAAAGATAGCCAGCCGAAGCATAGTCTAAACTCTCAGATGGGCGAGAAGAAAACTGGGGAAACCCAGAGCCAAGGCAATCACATTTCGACGCCCAACCCCCAGTTGGGTGCGAAAAAGAAGGCAAGCTTTTCCACGAGCCAAGGAAGCCCAAAGCCGAAGACGAACGGATCGCTGCCGGGCAGTGCATCCAATACGAAGCTATATCCAGAAGTCAAACAAAAGTCACTGCCAAAGATTGGCTCCCAGCTTAAGCCCAGTAGCAGCTATCTATTCCAGAGCCAAGGCAAGCTCAAGCCGAAGGAGAATCCTGCTACGAATTCTGCAGTGGAGAATGCAGCTGCAACGCTTAATACCCAGGAGGGTGCCAAAAAAGAGACATGCGAAGGAAACCCCAAGTCAAAGGCGAGGGGATCCTTGACGGGCTCTGCATCGAAGACGAAGCTGAAGCCGGACGTCAAAGTGTCATCAAACTGCATCGTGAACTAACCTAGGATATGGAGGAGCAGATCGAGGCGGGTAAGAGTTGAAAGAGTTTTATTAACAGCAAAATGAAAAGAAGTTCGATCTTCGATTTTAAACCTAAAACGTTTCCCTAGAAGGTGGTGACAGACAGGACTGGAGACTGTCGTCGTTGTCGTCGTTAAGTCGCGCGCTTACAAGCCGCCGCCAGAGCGGTCCACGCTGATCTTCTGCTTGAGATTGGCAGCCTCGTGCTTCTGTTCCTCCAGCTCGGCCATACGGGCAAACCGGGAGTAGGCCACATCGCCCGTCTTGATCGCGGACATCATCTGCAGCATTCAAATAGAGTTTCCACGTAAGAATTCAATAAATTATCGAAACAGATACATCCACCAATAAAAATTGGGACAGTGAGAGACGCACCTGTAGATACTCGTCGAGCTCAACCTGGCCGTTCATGTTGGTATCGATCTCGCGGAGGATCTCATGCAGCTGCTCGCCGGAAACGTCGCTTTCGCCGAAGCTCTTGAGGCCGCGGCGGATATCATTGATGGAGACATAGCCCTTCTTGTCCTTGTCGATCAGCTGGAAGCGCTTGATGTAGGTCTGGATCTCCTCCTTGGAAAGCTTAATGGGTATGCGCTCCTTGGAGGTGCGGTTCACCGAGTGGCCCATCTCGTTGGCCAAGAACTCGGTGGCGACCTTGATCTGGCGCTCCTTCTCCTCCTTGGACCACTTCAACTCCTCGCCCATTATGTCCACAATCACAGGAAGCGCCTCCTGCGCCGCCTGCACGTTGAGGAAGGCCAATCGCAGACGGCGGGCGATCATATCCACGGCCGTGCAGGCATATTCGCGCACGCCATAACGGATCTCGGCGTCGATATAGGGGAACTCGGGGTGAATGCGGTTGCCGATAATGGGCCACCGCTTGCCCGTCAGTGAGGCCATCTTGGAGACGGCAAAGGCGCGGTCGCCGTACGACTTGGCTAGGTGCTGTGCCACCTCGCACTCCAGCCCGAAGTCCTGCACCAGGCGGATGTACATGGTCGGTGTCCAGCCCTGACCGCCCTCGATCTTCAGGTAGGAGGTGACGGCCTCCGCCCGCTCCGGCTTTAGATTGCAGGCTGTGAATGGATGGACGGAGATACGATCAGTGATCGGGAATCTTAGGTGTAACAACAAGGATACATACCCTTGATAGCCGCATCGATGGTATGCTCGGCCATGGCGCGATAGGTGGTCCACTTGCCGCCGGCAATGGTGATAAGATTGGAGGGGCTTATGTGGACGATGTGGTTACGGGCGAGGGACTGAGTGTCGTCCTTGTTGGGGTCAGAGACCAGGGGTCGGATGCCACTCCAGGCGGACAGGACGTCGCCGCGGCGCACCTCCACGTCCGCGTTCAGGTAGTTTTTGATCTCCTTCAGGATGAACTGGATCTCGTCCTCGGTGGGTATAGGGTTGTGGGTGATCTCGCAGGGCAGATCGGTGGTGCCGGCGATCGTCTGCCGCTGCCAGGGCAGGAAGAAGATGACGCGTCCATCGGACGTCGAGGGATCGAGCAGGCCCATCTGGTCGGGGCTGTAGTAGCCGGGGAGCACGATGTGCACGCCGGAGCTGGGGCAGCAGATGCTCTTCACCGAGGGGTTGTCCATCTTGCGGATGGAGTCCGTGAAGGGGCCGGTAGCGTTCACGATGCACTTGGCCTTCACGGTGAACTCCTTGCCGGAGATGTGGTCCTTGAGCTTGGCGCCGCACAGCACCTGCTTGCCGGTGCCGTCGTCCTTCTTAAGCAACTCCTTTACCTCCACGTGATTGCAGACGGTGGCACCGTGGCGGGCTGCCGTCAGTGCCACGGCCAGGCACATGCGGGCGTCGTCCTGCTGTCCGTCGTAGTAAACGATAGCGCCGCACAGCTTGTCCTTCTTGAGCATGGGGAACAGCTCCAGAGCGTCCTTCTTGGACAGATAGTAGGAGCTCTTCACGTTGCGGTCACCCGCCACAAAATCGTAGGCCTTGATGCCCACCCAGAAGTACGGCACCTGCCACCACCTGCGTGATATATCAGTGGATTGGAATTAGTGGATCGGAATGCTGGGCGGGATCGGGTGCATTTACGTATAAACGGGCAGCATAATGGGCAGCGGATGGGTCAAATGGGGCGCCGATTCGAGCATGGTGGCGCGCTCCTGCAGCGCCTCCTTCACCATTCGGTACTGCTCAAGGTCTAGCTGTGGAAGCCGAAATGGAAGGATGACAACGATTAGCTCTCTACGGGGCGGATAATCCGGTTGAGCGATGAACTTACGCCCAAAATAGCCTTCTGCAGGTATCGCACTCCGCCGTGGATGAGCTTGGTGGAGCGCGATGAGGTGCCGCTGGCGAAATCGTCCAGCTCCACCAAAGCCGTCTTCATACCTGCACAGAGGGGGGTTACAATAGCTTAAGACGTGCCTCTATACGGGATTCCGTCTGGACTCACCTCGTGTCACCGAGTCGAGGGCACACCCAGCTCCAGTGGCTCCGCCGCCAATGATTAGCACGTCGAACTCCTCGCCGCTCATCAGAGACTTGATCTGCTCAGATCGCATGGGCAGTGTGCGCTTTCTCTTCGGCGGTGCCACCGCAGCATTGTTCACCACACGGGGGGTGTTCCAGTGGTCGAGGGTCCAGGCGGCCAGAACGGATCCCACGGCTGCACTGGTGGCGGTCACGCCGAACTTGAACATCCGCGAAGTCATCGCTCAGGGAGTTCCTTTTAATTGTTGCTTGTGCTGCCAAGAGATCAGAGAAGCATTCGATATTATTAAAAATTTATTTGTTTGAGTATCTCCAAAGAGTATTTCTACAATATTTTATTCTCTCTCCCGCTTTTAGTTGCATCTCACTCCAACGGCCAACTGCCAAGGTAAAGAGGGCAAGAAAGCTCTCTCCAAGCATAGATACGCTCTCCCACTCCCACTCTGACCAAGCAACAGCTTTGGCCAGAGCTTTGATGCAAACTTTTCACTCTCTTGTCTCTCTCTCTCTCTCTCTCTGGAAGTTCCATTGCGAATACCCGAATTTTTAGTGTGTCAAATCAATACTGCTCCATTGAGATGGGGGGCCAGACCCAGAGCCAGCTGTAGGGATAAAATACTGGACTCGCACCCGGACACGGAACACGTCCACGGACGACACTGAACAGATTTGCTCCAGACGAAACGCGTCTCGGAATCGAGTGGCGGATTTTACCTTAAGTTCCAGACCGAAAGCGTTTCGACAGTAGACAAAACCTGAATAAATTCCACAGCGAATACAACAGACCACGACGGGAGAATGCCGAGTCTGTTCAGAACATATGTATTTAGCGGGCGTAACAGAAAATGATTACATCAGAGTTTGAGTCACTTTTCGCGTCGACGGTCCGCGCGTCCGCACTCAGCCAGGGCGAATCGGGTATTGAGCTGCTTACCGTTTGCCTTCTGGCTATTGCTATTGCTATTCCGTTGCCGATGCTGTTGCTGATGCTGCGGCTAATGCTGATGCTGATACTGGAAGCGTAACCCTTTCCTGCTGCGCTACTAAGTAGCTCTCCGTCCGCTCTGTCCGGTCCGTCTCGTTCGCTGGCAGAGTGCACTGTGCAAGTGCTGGTGCAGCTTTTTGGCTCGGCAGCTTTCAGTGCAATATGCAATGCTACAATGTATGCCTTGCCGCTCGGAAATCGTGCTCGGTACTCGGCCAACGAACAGCTGTTGTAACTATGCCACGCCGCGCCCCTGTGTCTCTCGAGTGTCTAGCCAGCTAATTGGCCTGCAAGTCGTTCGTGAATCTCGCACCCAGATACCAGATACAAGATACTCTCGTGCCGCAAAATGCCGATTCCGCCCCTCTACTCGGATGCGATGCCCACCTATGCGATGAGCCCACGCCACGTCGAGTGTCTTGGGTGTGCGCTTTGTAACTGAGCGCAGAGCGAATGATATTTCTGATTGCTGATTGTTTCGCGCTCTATTCAAATAGAAGCGTTCGGCCAAGTGCTGATAAAGCGGCACTCTCCAACATAGGTGGAACGGAGGTCGAACCGGTGATTCTTCTGTGGGTTTCCATTGCGGCAGTTTCCTGAACAGTGTCATGCCCGTACCCGTGCCCCTGCTGATAACCATAACAACTTCTACGCATGGCGTAGATCTAGTGGGGAATGGAAATTGAATTCATGAATGAATCACTCCGGCAGAACCATCTTGTGCGTCGCTTGTCCAGCTATTGACCGCGCGACGTCACAGGCGAGACGGCTGCCGCAGAGTAGACAGGGAACAGACCGGCACTTGTGGGCTCGAGTAGATACAGATACGTCATGGGGGGACATGGGCAATGGGTAAGGTCAGTATCACTTGCGCAATTGAGCAAGAAGAACCCACGGCTATTTATACCCAACAAGACCTACATGAAACGGCCAGACCTACAAATGACCTTGGCTCCCAATCGCATTCCCAAATTATAAATTCGGGCATTTCTCACGAAAGCAAGGCGCGTTATCACGCCGATTGTAAATGATACAAAGTGCGAGTAGTATATATCCGACTCTCCGTAGAGCTTGTCCGGCGCGGCGGCACAGATACGGACACGGGACGATAACACGCAGCTGTTGCGTGCAGCGCACCACCCACACGGAAATACCTACACATACGCTCAACCACGACTACAAAGCAGACATCGAAAAGCTCCCGCGGGTCCCATAGTTACGGAGTGAGACGACGCCAGCGACGATGCTATCTCCATCGGCTGACGGCGACGCGTTCTCCGCCAGCACGTGAACACTATCAATGGACTGTCGGGTATACGTAGGACGTACATACACACATACGTATCATGTGTGCAAGAGACTCAGTCTGAGACTGATACGGTTTTCAGTTGGAGCTCCTATCTTTACCAGTCTTACCCCAGTCTTGCCCTCCTCTGAAGGTGAAAGGCGTTGTGTCTGACCCCCAAAATATCACATGTGAAGGTTAGATTTGTGTTTGTCGACTATATCTTCACTTATTAAATAAGGA